TGCGTGGTCACGGTGACTGAAGACAAAAGGTGTTGGATGTGTGATACTTTTTGACATTTTAAAATTATGTTAAATAATTGTAAATTTATAATAATACATAACTTTAATCCGGTTAAAAAGTTTTTTGTTTAAATAATTACTTTTGTTTGTTCTATGAAATGTTTGTGCTGTATTCAATTGTTTTTGCGATCTTATTAACAACTGACATTTAGTCAGTTTTATAAGTTTACTAGCTGACCGGTCAAACGTCGTTTTGCCATATATGTATATCATTTATAATAAAAAAATAGGGGTTGATCGTAGAGGGGTGAAAGGTTTGTATGTATTTTTTAATGCTGTATCATAAAAAAATAAAAACAGAAAAAAATATCTAAAAATAAAAAAATAATATTTAGGGGTATGAAACCTACCGTTAACATTTAGGGGGATGAAAAATAGATGTTGTCCGATTCTCAGACATACCCAATATGCACACAAAATTTCATGAGAATCGGTCGAGCCGTTTTGGAGGAGTATGGCAACGAAAACTGTGACACGAGAATTTTATATATTAGATAATCTCATAAAACTGTAAGATATAAGCGGTGTGTGATTTTAATTAAATATTGCAAAGTTTTAAATTTCTAAATTAAATATGTAAAAACGTGTACTTAAAATACGTAGTAGTGGTCTATATTTCACTTTGCTATTTCAAAAAATTCTGTAAACTCCAGTTTGATTGGCTTCGTAGTTTAATTAAATACGAATGAAATTTAAGTGAATAAATTGTTAATTAAGAATAATATTGGCTTTACAAAAGACCGACATATTTTATTTTAGTAAATCGTTTGCAATATATATTTGGGTGTTCTCATTGTTGTCAAGTGTGTGATTAATTATTTGGTTTTAATAGTTTTTAAATGGCAATTAAAGCTTTATTTAAAAAGCTAAAGAAATAACTATTTGGTCAGTTACTAGCAGAACACAAGACCTTGCAAGATTTAATTCATATTAAATTTTATACACAATAATACTAGGAACACCGTTGATTTTATCAGCGTCAAAAATAAAACTTATTTATTTTCTGTCAAATCAAATAAAATATTTTTATAACCTTCGTTGCATCGTTTTTTGCATTAGTAACAAAACTTCATTTTGTAGGTCTATAATATCACCTGCATTGCTCCAACAAAATACATCGCCTACGCGAAACTTTGCTACGAAAGTTGCAATGCTATGGCCTCATCACTTTGATGGCAATTAGTGAAACGGAAATAAAGCCCATATTGTATCGAGAATTACTCTTGTCCACCCGATACGGTACTTTTGCAAGCTTCACCTGTCTCGCAGAATAAATGGGTAATTGAATGGCGGTCGCCGATGCCTGATAGATGGCTATTATTCGTGAAATTCGCTGGTTAATTCCACTTTAGGTTGGAATTTATATGAAATGTGATTTTTGGTAAAAATCTGTTCTTTCTATAGAAGAATATATTATAACATTTATTATTCTTTAATTATTAATAGCAGTAAACTGCTGTCTAACGTGATTTTGATTAAAATATATAAGAATCGATTTGGTATATTTTAAAATTCTACAGAAACTGCAATAAGGGTTATTGCAGTTTCTATTGCATTGAGTCGTTTATCAATTCGAAAAAAAATAGGAAATGAATAAGACTAAACTTTTAAAGATATTCTAGAGATAATCATTATTATGTTTAGGAATTACACACAAAATATATACCTACTAAAATCTATGTATTATGCATGTTGGTGCACCGTTCAGAATTTGATTCTCATGTCACCTCACGTGTCAGCGCATCAAAGGCTGGTCAATATTCATAGGGTTATCTGAACAGGTTTGGAGTATGTTGTCAAAATCAGCATCAACAAATAGGCTTTGAACTAACTAGGTCTCCTCAACTAGGCTTGGGGAAAACATATTGATTTTCTTCGCTTCATTTCGAGTGCACATTGATAAAGGGTGCATATACGTGAATTGTAACGCAAGAAGAGCTTTCATTAATACATTAAAAAGTTCATTTCATTAAAAATTGCTATCGCGTTAGAGCTCAGAAAAAATTTCATGTATTCGATGTATTCGTATAATATACCGACTAGTAAATTCATTTCTATATTAATATTGTGTTACATAAACTGGTATTTATCTCGAAATGTAACTCTAATAGGTAATCTACCTATCATTCAAATAATCATTTGAATAGGTAGCTTTCATTAATTATAATTAATGTGATCATCCAGACACAGAAAACTACCCAATAGCTATTAGAATAAAACATCAAAGCGTTATAAAATAAACAATACAAATAATTTAAACGAGGCGTAGGTTGTGACCTTCAAGGTCTTGAAGATAAAACAATTTACGCAGATGCTTAGAATTGTATTTTTTACGCCGCCGGAGCGAATAAACCCAGGCGAATTCGAGTTAATTACAAAGTTATATCGTTCTGTGTACTAATTACAGTTGAGAATTTAATTGCGACATTGCAAGCCAGTTTAGTGAGAAATTTCGAGACTGATCGCACACTTTGCAGCGCGATTATCATTAAAGTTTTGAGACTATGTTTAAGTTAATCTTAACTGTCTAGAGCATGTGCTTCTACATCATCTTAGCCGTTGTACGTAGCTGTTTTAAAGCTTACGTGCAAGTACGAACTCAAATATTGACTAATAAAAAGACACTAGACGAAGTCCACGGCCCAATGAGTATAATAGGTCCGAGGTCAGTTCAGAAAGCCTGCAGTTGCCGTAACCAAATTTATACTAACACACACCGTCACACACTAAATTCATAACCTAGCGTTAAACAAGCGTATATGAGAACTCCAAAGTATACTTGTAGAAATAAACTTTGACCATACATTTTGAACCGTAAACTGTCAAAAGAGCACAGATATATATTTTACTTATATGTTTTTAGCATAGTCTAATTACTGAAAACAATTTTTCCAGGATACGAAAAATGTACTGCTGGGCTAAACAAAATGTCCCTACGTAAGCTTAACTATGTTGAGAATGGTCATGAAATGTGTTTTTAATATTTTAAAAATAATATTCAACATGTTTTCGGGAACTAAGTTGCCATTTCATACAACGAAATATGGGTTTGTATCTTGTTGTATGTAATAGACAAATGAAATTTCTTTAAAAATAAAAGCTCTGACATACCTTTCCTTGATACAGTTACAAGCTCTGAATTATTTATCGTAAAACAAAAGATATCAAACATGTACCGAATGAGGCTTCATAAAAAAGGAATTGCTCATTGTCTATTCTGTCTTGTAAATCAATATCGTGTACAGAAAATAAAAGCTGTATCATGTAAATTTAAGAATGAACGTAAATATACTTTCATTTAATAGCGCTTAATAAAATACATCGATCTCTCACGATCAATTAAATTGATAGAACAACGTAGTAAATTCAAAATCATTTATTCCTACGTTATAGGTAACACAATGTACACTTATGAACGTCAAAAAAGAAATATGCATTAAATTTTTCTAATTTTACATTTACCTACTGCCAGTTCTCAAATCAAGGGCGTAGAACGGAAGAGAAGAACTGGCAATAAACTCTCCGCCACACTTTTTAATCGCCAAGTTTTTTGTTTTACAGAACGAAGGAGCTGCAACCATTAAACCATGTTCCACATGACATCTTAAGTAATTAATAATAATAAAATAAATTAAAAACAAAGAGTTGGCCTCAATCAGCAGGAGGCATGGTGAAATAGGAGCACGCACTTACATTCTCGTGGGAACAACACGCAAATCGATAGTCGAAATAACATCACCGCATACACGAATTCAAGTACGACTAGTCACCACAAGTAGCATTCGTTCACGAGTATGACGCATGGCCAGACATGGGCCTCCTCGCCGTATTTTAGTGAGAGAGACACCCCGACGCATGGACGCCGCCAATAGACCAGATAAATACTCTTAATATTACAGAAATATTTGGAGGTGTCATCGTCGAAAGACATCTATGTAATTTGACGCGGTCAATATCTTTTACTATAAGCATTCTTTATCATCATATTATGTATATATCATGTATAATGATATGAAACATAAAATAATTCCTATATTTCATAACACCGACGGCTGAAATTCATTAACATATAAATAATTTTCAACTTTAACATTGTTAATTTGCGTCGTAATAATCTTATACACTTGCAAAAATTTAAATTTGAAACAGACACCGGAAGCATTGTGGAATTGAATTACTGGGTTGTAGCATAGTCGTGAATAACTTAGTAAGAATGAAAAATTAAATACAACGCGATCATTAAAATACAACGAATGAAAGCAACCGAAACAAGTTACAAAAAAGAAACGTATATTTTCATAATAAATTTATATTAACGAGCGTGTAAGCCCGTGAGCCTTTCCGGCTTAAAGAACCTTTAAAATTCACGGTAGAACGTATTTATGTAAAAATGTATTGTAATGGCATTGTATTATATCACTACTCGTATACTCATTTTTCACTCAGTGGCTATAATACGAAAAATGTGCTGCGTGTACCAAATATTGTTTAACATTTATCATTTCAATAAACCGCGCATAAATAAAAGTTGTCAAGACTAGAATATTGAATACACAATATCTCATGTAGTAGGTAAATATTAAGGAAATCTATCAATTTGTTTGTCTGACATTATATTATTTTACGATGATTCAAATAATAAGGTAATATTAACATTCAGACGTAATAAACAATCATAATAGTAACTTGGATATTATAAGTCGTAAACTATTATTTCGCTAGAGAATAATTGAAAGTTATTTAGATTTACTCAACAAGGATTTATGTCAAACTCACTAAACCCTATCCGGCTAACCGATCTCTGTTTATTGTTGCAGGTTTCACAAAGTGTCAGATTAACGTGAACACCCCAATCAATCAAAATGCCCGAGTGACAAATGAACACATCCCCCAAAGACGCGTAAACAGAAATGGGTCTCCAAAGGTGATATCTACAGAAAATGGCTTCACAGAGACTGCCATTACACCTCTGCAATTCAATTAAACAGTTTTTACAAAAAATAAAAGCGAAAACAAACTTTAGCAGTTTAAAGTTAGAGTTGAAATTAGATTGGCAAGGGAGGATAATATTAGTGTTATTGATAGTGCTACTGTTCAGTGTGACGTCGAGTGGTAATAGTTTTGGTAGGAATTCTATGCTGAGGACAAGAATAATTGGGACCCGGTACGGTAAATTGCAGGGTGTGATATTACCTATGGATCAGCATAAGTACTTGAAGCCAGTAGAGGCTTATTTGGGAGTACCATACGCAACACCACCAACAGGATCAAATAGGTAATCAAACATACCTACAACTCTATTTTTACTAGTATTTTTGTATGGTGTTAGATATTAAGATAGTTTTATTTCCTTAAAGTTTTAATTCCTTCCGAAATTCCATTGGCCTAAAAGTTCTTAAAGGGTTACGAGATATAATTTATTGATAAGCCAATTATAATAATAATAGCCTTTACTTCAGATACGTTTCTATTTCAATTATCTTTAAGTGTATCTGTATGCCCTTATTTGGCAAAGACCTCCTCTGCCATTCCTGTCTGCAATATGCCACTCTCTGTCATGTACCACCTGCTGTTTTTTTAATTTGGTCTATCCACCTTCTAAGTTAACTCCCTCTCTTTCGTTTGCTGTACCTTCGGCAACAGTTTAGTACTTTTGTGCTCCCCTTTTCTGTTCTTCTTGCCAAATTCGCCACACATTTCACTTAGGTTATTTTTTTTATTGTTACCTGTTGGTTATCTGTTACCTTAGTTGTTTTTCTATTCCTTTCCCTCCTATCATACATCGTACGTATCATGCATCGATACGTAGCTGAATACTCGTACCTGAGTCAGACAATATCTATGGCCGATGCAACAATAAAATAAATCGACAAATAGAAAAGCCTGTAAGAACTTTTGGGCGCTTAAAAAAGTCATTAAAAATAAGTAAACGAGCATGGTAATTAAAAGAAAGCTCTTGAATACTTGTATACTACCTGTACTTACATATGGATCTTAAACTTGGGTGCCGACTAAAGCTCAGCATACAAAGCTACAGGTATGTCAAAGATCGCTCGAACGATGTATGATAGGGAAGAAAATCAATAGACCAATTATAACATTTACCTATTAAGAGCTTTATTACACTCTTAATTTTTTACTTCCAGTTATCATTGAAGATTTTTAAATAAAATACAATAACTTGTGTTATTATAGTCACGGTAAACCAGAATGTTAATAAAATTGAATATTAAAACATGATAATAAAATCCTTTATTAACTTTTTACGTAAGATCCATAATAAAGTCAAACGAGAGAGATTCATTATAAGGTTAACATCTCGTTATTTGAGTTAATGAAATTCCAAACAAAACAATTTAAACTTTAAACAAACAACTGCAGTAGTTTTATTGTTCAAAGACTTGAATTGAGGTTTATGTACAAGCATTTGCTTTATTTATAATTACAAATGGTGAAAATATTCGTTGTAATAAATTTAATAAAAATTATTAGTTTAGACGCGTTTAGGTTTTACATTCATTTTGTGTCACTCATACATGAAGATTTTTCGCATGATTTTTTTATTGCTATACTATATAATACACATCTAATATATAAAATTCTCGTGTCGCTGTGCTTGTAGTTAAACTCCTCCGAAACGGCTTGACCGATTCTCATGAAATTTTGTGTGCATATTGGGTAAGTCTGTGAATCGGACAACATCTTTTTTTCATCCCTCTAAATTTTAAGGGTAAATTAATTTTTAGATTTTTTTTATGATACAGCATTAAAAAATACAAACAACCCCTAATTTTCACCCCTCTACGATCAACCCCTATTTTTTTATTATAAATGATATACATGGCAAAACGACGTTTGCCGGATCAGCTAGTATATATATATATATATACTAGCTGACCCGGCAAACGTTGTTTTGCCATGTATATTATTTCTAGGAAACATTTTTTTTGTTCAATAAAAATAACTATCTACTATAATAAAAAATAGGGGTTGAATGTAAAAGGGTAAAAATTAAGGGTTGTATGTATTTTTTAATGGCACATTATAAAAAAAAAAAAATGTTAGGGGTGGGCAACCCTTATCACTTAGGGGTATGAAAAATAGATAGTAGCCGATTCTCAGACCTACTGAATATGCATATAGAATTTGATAAAAATCGGTCAAGCCGTTTCGGAGGAGTATGCAGACTAACATTGTGACACGAGAATTTTATATATAAGAAGATATATATATATATGTCGGTCCGACTTCAAAACGTACAGCCTATTTTTAGCATGATAAAAATTTAAAATTCAATCGTTACATTATTAGAATAGCAATATTATTTTTTGTATAAATTTAGGTAAACGTCAAATTAAATTTTACAATTATCTCAGCTGCTTTAATCACGCCATCGGTTTCAAAGCCTGTAAATATTCTGCGACCACTGTTTCAATGTGATAGATCACATTTAGAAATATTTAATATAATTAAGTAGATATCAAAATTACCTTATTTACCTTAATATTTAATATTTTTATATCGACAGATTCGCTCCAACCCGCGCCCCAGCGCCTTGGGACGATGTGAAAACCGTTGACCAAATGGGTCCAGTGTGTCCCCAACGGTTGCCAGACATTGATAACGAGACACTTGCCTTAGAACGAATGCCTAAGGGCAGGCTCGAGTACTTGAGAAGGTTACTACCGCGACTGAAGAATCAGAGTGAAGATTGTCTGTATATGAATATTTATACGCCGGTTCAAGGTTAGTCAGCCTTGGCTTTACTGTTCCATTCTTATGTAGAACATAACGTCTTTAAAAGTCTTTGCCACATCCATTCTGTATGTGGCAAAGACTTTAGTATATTTTAATGATTGTGCAATTTTAGGTGCAAAAGGAACTTAAAAATAGATCATTTATTTTCAGCCTTTCAGTAAAATAACCTACTTTCTTAAATCTAATCTAATAATAAAATTATCGTGTCACAATGTTCGTTTCCAAAACGGTAAATACTTATCCGAAACGGTTCAACCGATTCTGATGAAATTTTTTATGCAGTAAGTCTGAGGATCGGATAACGTCTATTTTTCATTCCCCTAAATGTTAATAATCCAGTCAAAATAGACAAAAATAAGTCATAACTTAGTCAAAATTCGCATAGAGCTGAAAATTGGCAGAGACGTTAAATACATCATTATAAATGAAATGTCAAAAATCCCCTTCGATCCTACTTCTGCAAAAAAAATTATTCAAGGTCAAAAGTATAAAATTAAGATTTTTTCCATTTTTCTCGAAAACAGTTAGTATTAGGTATCGTGAAAATAGATCAGACAAAAGTTGTAGATCATACAATTCTCTACAAAAATGGTTCAGTCACTTTTTCTCTTACGACTCACCATTCATGAGATATCGCGGTTTTAATCATTAGAAAATTCATATTTTACATAATATGCACTAAAATGCAGTCTGTATACGTCACCGGACGTTCAATATAAATGAAAATAAGAAACTATTCGTTTGTGTTACTTACACAATAAAACTTGTATAAATTAAATGACGATTTTAAAATATAAGACTATACTGTCAGTCCCTAATTCCCTTCGTCGGTAACCTTGAGTAATATCTGATGATCTGCTAGCTACGTCATTGTTTGAGTGTAGAGGGTCGCATACCTGCCTATTTTTGAAGGAAGTAAATGAAATGACTCTGAATGAATGATGAGTTAGTTTTGAAAATTCCTGTGCAGTGAGCAGACGTGCTTATTGGTAATATTTTCAATTTTAATTTGTGCTGTTAAATAATTTAAACAAAATGTCAGAAGTTTGTTTTATTTGTGATAAACCTTTGAAAGAAAGTGAAGTCGTTGTTGTTGATCGTGGAATGAAGACTTTGATTGATGCAAGTGTTGCAAGAAATGATAATTTTTTTGAATACTTAAAAGACAAGCAATCTGTGACAGTGGACGTGCAGTGTCGTAAAATGTATACTCGAAAGAGTAGTATTGTTGCAGATAAAAGACAGCGCGAGACAGAAGAAGGTAGTACATCCACGATAAGTCCACCTCATACTAGAGCACGAGTAAGTGAGCCAGATTTCAACTTTAAAAAATGTTGTTTATTTTGCGGCGATGAAGCAAATGAAGAAGCTGAAAAGAAGAAAGCGCAGAATGTTCGTCGTAAAATTTATAACGTATCTACACTTGAATTTAAAGATTCCATTTTAAAGGTAGCTCGGACTCGTTCTGATGACGTAGCAAAAGCTGTTATTGCCCGCATTGGGTATGAATTTGACTTAGTTGCTGCTGAAGCTAAGTACCACAATAACTGTTATAATATCTTTCTGAGACCTACCACGGGATATAAAGTCGGTCGTCCCGAAGATGATTCAGTAAACTTGGCGATGGAGGAAATATTTCAGTACATTGAAAATAATGATGATTGCCAATTTTCATTACAAGAATTGAAAGATATCGGCAAAAATCCAACTATAGATAATAAAACAATTAAAAGAAGATTAAAGTTAAAGTATGGTATAAAATTATTTTAACTGAGAAGAAAGGAAGCTTAACAATTATCTGTTTTATTGATAATCAGTACGATATTCTTAATAAAGCTTGGTATGAAAATAAAAAACAAAATACAAACGAAGAACGATTCAAAATACTGAAAGCTGCTGCAGCAATTATTCGAGAGGATATTCAATTCAATATCAATCTGCAAGAAGAAGAGAATGAAGACGAAGAAATAATTGTTGAAGTAGAATTAGACAATTATCTTATATAATGACATGTAGAAAAAAACAACCTATTCCACTTTAATCATTAGCAATAATACTATTCTTTCAATTAATAGGATACGATCTGATCAAACTTTCTTTATTACAATAGATCGTGGAGTATACCTACTGGGGAAACCACGTTAAAAAAATGCGCCAAGTACATTACCTCATAGGTGGTGCGGAAATGTGTGCATATTTTGTAGAATATGAATTTTCTAATGATTAAAACCGCGATATCTCATGAATGGTGAGTCGTAAGAGAAATTGTGACTGAACGATTTTTGTAGAAAATTGTATGATCTACAACTTTTGTCTGATCTATTTTCACGATAATACTAACTGTTTTCGAGAAAAATGGAAAAAAACTTAATTTTATACTTTTGACCTTGAATAATTTTTTTTGCAGAAGTAGGATCTAAGGGGATTTTTGACATTTCATTTATAATGATGTATTTAACGTCTCTGCCAATTTTCAGCTCTATGCGAATTTTGGCTAAGTCAAATGCCTATTTTGACTGGACTATAAGGGTGGTCTCCACCCCTAAATTTATAATGAATTTTTCAAACAAACATTTTTGTTTTAATTTTTTATGATACAGCATACAAAAATACATACAATCCTCAATTTTCACTCCTTTACGATCAACAACCATTTTTAATAAAAATAACCACCTACTATAATTAGTAGATAATTATTTATAATGAACTAAAAAAAAGTTTACTAAATAATATACATGGGCAAACAACGTTTGCCGGGTTGGCTAGTGTATATATATAAATGGGTCATAAAACACAGTACTTAATACTGTTTAATAGCTTGGTAATTTTGGATTTTTGTGAATCATATCCAGTGTAAGGAGACTCGTTATGTACATATGTCATTGGGTATAATAGAAAATAGTTGTATCCATTTTGTGTGTCAACTTAAAAAAAGGGAAGAATTGGTTTTTGTGAAGCAGTAAATATGCATTTACAGTATGTAAATCTAATGTATAAAATTCTCGTGTCACAGTTTTCGTTGCCATACTCCTCCAAAACGGCTCGACCGATTCTCATGAAATTTTGTGTCCATATTGGGTATGTCTGAGAATCGGACAACATCTATTTTTCATCCCCCTAAATGTTAAGGGTAGTCCACCCCTAAATATTTTTTTTTATATTTTTAGATATTTTTTTCTGTTTTTATTTTTTTATGATACAACATTAAAAAATACATACAAACCCCTAACTTTCACCCCTCTACGATCAACCCCTATTTTTTAATTATAAATGATATATATGGCAAAACGATGTTTGCCCGGTCGGCTAGTAACCTATAAAATTGTGTATATTTGTGTAAAAAGTAAGCAAACATGAATCGTTTAATGTAGTAATAAATGATATTCGTGTTATTAAAATATTAAACAGTGCACGATACTTGGACTGCATAATTAGTTTTAATTCTACATATAATTATACACAGTAATTATAAACTGCACATAAATTATTTGATTAAAACTTTTAATCACAAATTTCGAGCAAAGGATTTAATAAAATGCTTTATTAATATGAAAAGCTGATTGTTTTGCGATAAGTTATTCACTCTTTTACGTAATTATATGCCATTAAGCGGTCATAAATTATAGAAATGAACAGCCGTTATTTCAGGCAAATATTCGCTTTATTCAAAACTGTGAAATTTCCAACGTTTTCATAGTGCACCTGTTATATTTCTCTAGTTTTATGAAAGAATTGGTACAAGCAGAACTGGTATCGATAACTTGAAAACATTTATAATAATTCGATATTTTTGATTTCGTACAGTAAATTGTTTATTATAAATATCACTTTGGAATTAAATTGTTTATTATAAAGATCCAAAAATTAAATAAAATGTTTCATGAGCCTTATTGACTTAGAGTCTACTTTATTATTATTGTTACATACATTGAAAATTTTATCTTCTAAATATATAAAACAAAGTTACACCGCTTATAACTCAAGATCGGCTGGACCGATGTTATCTCTTTTTTGGTGGATTCTCCTCTGCTCCGAATATCAGAATAAGTAATAAAATATAGGATAAGTTATCGAATAAAAATAAATTAATACATTAATTTTCTGAATGCAAACCGCATGTGGTGCCATCTGTTGACAAAATTACGCATATAGAAGAAACCTACCACTTTGTTCTGCGCCGGAAAAACAAAAAATTTTGTATCAGAAAGTGCTTTAACATGCAGTATCGCAATATTGGCACTAGAGAGAAGAGGCCTAATGTGTAAAACTGCCATTTTTCTTTCGCAATGGCAAGCAATAAGACATTTCTGTATTTGCAATTGCAAAAAAGTTATATTAATGTCATTTCCTTAATTAAACCTTAAATTAAGTTTAACTAAAGTTTACACTGTACTATTAGACTCTCTATAAGTTCGCTGGGTCTGCTAGTACTTAATATAATAAGATCAGTGTCGTATTTTTTTTATATTCGTATATAACCGAGAAAGATTTAAAATAAAGTAGAGTTTATTATAACTAAAAGGCCGGCAACGCAAACGTAAACATCCTGACGTGATCCAGGGATGGCTATATCACGATATAAGATAAGCAATTTTAGCGCTTGACGTTTTACTCCAGCTTAACGATCATTTCATCATTTATACGTCAATGCGATAATTTTAGTTCGAAAACTCGAAAAAATATCGAATTTTCAAACAATTTGCATAGTCTAAGTATTCAAACGATGCAAGTTTGTGCTTCGATCCAGTTCTAAATACGCCCACGAAGCGCTTCTTAAGTTTTCTATACAGGAACATTTTACTTTTCTACAAGTTATATTCGATTTAGGTACGCATTGTTCGTGCTAAGGGTAGTTACAGACTAGCGTTTTTTACTCATGTATAAGCTCTTATTTGGTATCGCATGTAGGCGCGTATAGGCGCGCCTTTTGGCACACGCGCAACTCGTACGAGCGTTGACGCGCTTCTAAGCTCGTATAAGCGCGACAACCGTT